TATCCTCAAAGAATCCCCCAGAAAAGCCCACCAGAAAGCAGCGGCCCTTTCTCTTACCTGCGCCCATCAGATGACTCAGAAAAGGTTTGAAGGGCTGAAAACCATCAGCCACCTCTCAGATGTATTGAATGTTTCAACGAGGTGAACGTAAATATAAGGGTTGTTGTGTGTATTTTTTTTGGGGGGGGGGATTCTTTTTTTCATGTTGGAATATTTATATCTGCCTTTTGCAGCAGGCCATGTTTTACCATCTCCAGCAAAGTGATTGATGAGAAAGATGTAGTTCATAAAGTTATTTGCACTTGATTAAAGAGAAAAACGTATCTGAACTTTGTAAAAAGAAATGTTTGCATTTTGTATTGTCTTTTTTTAATTATTAAATGGAATTTCTTGGTGTTGTGTTGATCTTTCAGAAGCTGGCTCTGGTGCCTGTTTTAAAAGGTTTCTAACAGCAGGGTCCAAAGCTATTTTCATTGTTTTGTTCTTCAGATGCTCAGACAAGCTCTTTTTGAGGGCGTAGAGCTCTGCTTCCAGCTTAAATCCTACAGATTTCCATAGGCTCTGCAGTCATTACACAATGCATTTATTTATATACATTAATTAGATGCAACATATCTCACTTTTAGCCCAGAACATTGAGTTGAACAGCAACTACTACATGCTTCTCTGCAGAGCAAAGCAGAGCCAATGAGAAACCCCTCACTGAGCTGCAACTCCCCCCTCTTACCCCCAGCACCTTCCAAATCCCCATGTAACTGGAGCCAGCTGAAAGATCCATCAAGTCTTCATGAGCTGCTGCTGTGCAGCCCCTGCTGCAGCCATTGGTCACCTCAAGGGCAGCAGAACCCTATAAAATGCAAATGCCCCATAAACCCCCACCCTGAGAGCTGGCAGGATGCTGTTCCTGGGATGGCAGAAGGGAGCCCTGGGCTGTAAGATGACTGCTGTGTGCAGGAGCTGTTTTGGGCACTGAGCCCTTCCTTAGTTTTGAGGTAAGCACCCCAATTTTGCTTGTGCCAGCTGCTGAGTGGTTCCCCCCTCCTGCTCTGAATGCAGGGTGACAAGCTTGTCTACTTCACAAGAAATCAGCTTGTGTGACTCAGGAAGCTCAAACGCAAATGTAAGGCTGATGCTTCCCCTGAATTCACGCCTCTTCAGAAAGTCTTGCCCAATAAGCTTTGGAGGAATGCAACCACACAGCTGTAAGATGTCCTAAAAGTTTATTGCCACCCAGTTAGTACAGACGCTGGGGCTTCCCCATGGTGCTCTTGATATACAAAGCACGCACGTTCTGCCAGTTCTTCTTCAGCAAGGACACCAGGAAGTTGATGGCCAGGTGGATGTTGTAGACAAGTTCATCCTCTGTCATCTTCACGTGACCGACAGCCACAGCCAGACAGAGCACCTGGGGACAAGGACACCACGGTCACCTATGGGCTGGCTGACAGAACAAGCAGAGCACCCAGGGATCCCCCCCCACAGCCTGTCCCTGCAGCTAACTTCTCCAGCCTATCCATGGCAAAGTGCTTCTACAGAGCTCGCTGTCTGGCACGTGGCTCCCATGGATGTCTGGCAGCATCTGGATGCAATCTGAGCAACAGCTGGCACAGGTCTGGCTTCCTCACAGCACAAAGGTGGCTCAGTGAAGGCAGCAAGCAGCCACCTCCTGAAGCTGGGAAAGCTGGAGGGACGTGCAAAGCGCCACTCTGAACTGGTAGGGAAGCAGCAGAGCTCTCGTGTAACTAATCCCATGCCTGACTCACCAGGCAGCGCTGGCACTGTTTCCTGCACACTGCTAACCCAGCAGCACAGCCTATCAGCTCCAAACTTCATTGCTACGCATGGCGCCAGCTTCACTTTTTGTTTTGGCACCAGCCACCAGCCCTTTCTTTCTGCATGGGCCAAGCCTCTGCCTGCCAGCCTTGCAGAGGAGCTTGTAAGTCAATGTTCCCCACGGGCTGAAGACAAAAGGATTTACGAGCAAACTGACAAGAGAAACGTCAGGACATCATTAGCTCTGTTACTTTAAATGCTGAAGCATTTGCAAACTATTGCATTTACTGCGTCCTCCCAGCTGTGCCTTCAGGCTCACATCAGCTGGCGTCTGAGGATGCACCTCAGCTAGCAGAGCTGCTAATTCTGAATAATACCCAGGAGTCACATTTAGACCACTGTCAGGAGATTAAAATGCCTGAGCAGGGTTATTTTGGTTTGAGGGCGCTGGCTTGCCTCGACATCTCTCGACAGGCGCAGACATCCACAGAGCTGCTGCAAAGTTCACTTGCAGAGTCAAGTCCCAAACGTGCTTCTGCCAAAGCACAGCAGTGAGCACAAAGCCACCGGGGCACCCGGCTCCAGAGCCGCACCCTGCAGTCACCCACTTCCTGGAGGTGTTAATTGTGACCAATTGTGCTCAGCGCTCAGACATCAGCATCATCTCCTCATCGCTTTTCTAAGCTCTTCTAACCGCAGATCAATTGTTCTTTTCCAGTTAGCTGAATGGTGACTGCACTGCTCTGCTGCCCAGCAGAACGCTGCATGCTCCTCACCAGGAGCTGCTGAAGACACTGGGGGACACCTACAGACCAGCCCAGGGATCGCAGCCACAACCAAGGGACACCAATCGCCCGCCCCCCCCCCCCCAGGTAAGCGGCTGCCAACTGGAAGCCCTGAGCTCTTTACCTTCTTCATCTGAAACTTGATGGTAGATTTGACCTCATCAACCTTGGCCACCAGGTTCTCATTGTGAGTGAGGAGAGAAGGGAATTTGCCAGCTTTGTTCAGACCTGGACCCAGGATTCGAGGAATCTGCTTGATCAAGGACTCTGAAGCCAGGAAGGCATCGTACTTCTTAGCTGTGAGATCAAAAGAAGGTAAGGAAGCGCTCTCAGCTCTAACCCAGAGCTTGAAACCAACAGCTCGGCTGAGACTGTACTGCTGCACATCCCCCTGTGCAAACATTTCCATGTTCCAAAGCCCTGCCTTTTCCCTCATACTGCATTATAAGCCATTCTTGTCACACCAGCCAAACTCCTCCAGGACTCAGAGCCTGACATCCTGGCAGCAATCCCATTAACTGTACACAGAGGACTTCCCTGAAATGCACAGCATTTATCCAGCTGCATTACGGACACTTGGAGCTCTACTAGAATTCTTCTTCTGTATTCTGTTCATATGTGAAGAGCGTGGATGCCCCATCCCTGCAGGCATTCAAGGCCAGGCTGGATGTGGCTCCTGACAGCCTGGATTGGTGGTTGGTGACCCTGCACACGGCAGGGGGTTGAAACGAGGTGATCATTGTGGTCCTTTTCAACCCAGGCCATTCTATGATGATGAATCTATGATGCCACAGACCTGAGAGAGGCTTAGGTTACAGTAACCATATCCTACATTGTTTTCCAACCTCCTATGCTTCCAAGGACTGAATGGTAAGCTTTTCTTGTCTGCTCAAGATACTTATCAAAATGACCTTCATTCTGTAGGAAAGGTTTTATTTGCTACAAGTAAAAGTAACCCAACTCCATCCTGTTCACTGCAGTATGGCAAGTTCCACCTCTAGATCTACTTGGCTTTGTTGCACTTTCCCTGAAAGTTATGGCACGCTGAGGGAGGGAGATAACTTCTCAAGGAGATGGAACAGCTCTCCTGTATCCCTTCCTCCTGGAAGAAGACAATCATTGCACTCCTACAGCACTGCCCTGCCAGGCATTTCACACTGTAAGTGGCCCTAAGGTTTGCTGGGTAGTTCCTAGACAGAATCCTACTCTTCAAGAGTAATCAGTTTTCTGTTCTCTGCAGCTAATCCTGACGTGGGAATGTGAGCATGGGGAAACCTGCTGTCACAGGCTCAGCCACGGCACCCAGAGACCAACCCACACCCCGCTCACCCAGCTTCTTCACCAGCTTCTTATTTTTGTTGAGCTTCTTCAGAGCCTCTATGTCCATGTGAGGGATTTCCACCGCTTTGGCCTCATCGCAGTGCTGCTGATCCCCCAGCAAGCAGACAGAGAATTTGGGCCGTGGGGTCGACTTCAGCCTGCAGACAGAGCCCAAATTACCCGGTGTGCCACGGATGCCACGCAGCTCAGAGGGACCCGCGTGCAGGTACCTTACCGCAGCTCCTCACATCTTCCTCCACGCTCAGAACCTGCCTCTGGGGCAGGGCGGCGGGGGCAGCACCCCACACCTCCCCTCTTGTTTTAAGACCCAGGGTGGGGGTCCGTCCAGCCACACCCGCTCGGGGGTGACGGTCTGAACTACCCGGGGCGTTCAGCAGCACGGCCTGCAGCAGGGAAGCCACCCTCGGCTGAGGGCCGCGGGCTGAAGGCTGGGTGTGAGCAAGAGGATGCCGAACCTGACGGTGCCGGAGAACCGCTTGTCTTTCTGCGGGTCGTAATTCTTCAGGCTGATCTGCAGCTCCACCGTCTCCACAAACCTGAGGGAAGAGTCCAGGTCAGGCCCTGCACGGGGCGCGAGGCCTCAGCCGGGCACAGGGCAGGGCTCGTACTTGCGCTTCTTGGTCTTGCTGCCCTGCAGCACCTCCTTCACCGCCTCGTACAGCGTGTCGCGGGACACTTTGCTGCTGCGGGGGGAAACAGAAGACAGCCTCAGGCGCGGGCCCAGCGCAGGCCGCGGAGCGGGGACCGGGCCCGAACACCGAAACCCAGCCCGGCCCGAACTCCATCCGCGCTCTCCCCCACCGCCCACCCCTTCTCCGCCATCGGACCCGGAAACCCACACCCTGCCCGGCGGCCGGGCCGCGGATGGCGATGGATAACGCCGCGCTCAGGCACCCACCTCATGGCGGCGGTTCAGGCGGAGAGGGCGGGGCGGGGCGACCCGCGCATTATAAGTACGGCTGAGATCTCGCGAGCTTTCCTCAGCGCCATGCTGGGAGTGGCGCGGTGTGGCAGTGAGGTCAGGAAGTGGCGGAAGAGAGCCGGGAGAGCTCACGTGCCTGAACCCGGCCTCTCCACAACTTCCGGAAAGAGGCCCCAGAACCTGGATGTTGCGCGGGGAGCGGCTGTGGCGTGGCGGCGGTGTGTGTGAGGTTCGTGTGTGAGGCTGCCAGGCCGTGATGGAGGGCTTGCAGGTAGTGACCCTTAGCGATGGGACAACAGCCTCCGAGCAGCAGGCTGCCAAAGGTAAAGGAGTCTTTGGGCTGTGAGGTCTCAAAGTCTCTTCACAACCCCATGAGGTCGGAGATAAGGCGTGCAGATCGCCGTGGATCTTGTATAGGATGCTTCCGACTGTCTTAGATTGGCACAGAAGACTGTGCAGGAATCAGAGAGGTTGGAAGGGACCTCTGGAGATGGAGTCCAACCTCTCTGCTAAAGGAGGTTCCTGACAGCTGGTTGCATAGGAAAGCATCCAGGCAGGTCTCAAAACGTCTGCAGAGAAGATGACTCCACAGCCTGTTCCAATGCTCCGTCGCCCTCCCAGTGAAGAAGTTCTTTTGCACATTTGTATGGAACTTTCTGTGTTGCAGTTTTTGCCCACTGCCCCTCGTCCTGTTGCTGCAAAGAGCCCAGCCCTATCCTGACTTCTGCACTTCAGATCTTTGCACACATTGAGGTCACCTCTCAGCCTTCTCCAGGTTGAAAGGCCTCAGGTCTCTCAGCCTTTCCTCACATAAGAGATGCATCCATGAATAAAACATCTCTGCTTCAGAAATGAAGCTTTGGTGATAGGAGAGCTGTTGCAGTAGAAAATGAAGGTTCTGTCCAGACTGGAAAAATGGAGTTCCCTGTATGTTCTGTGGCCAAAACTTCCCCTGAAGCTAAGCAGAATGTTTGACCTCACTGAAGTGCGTAGCATCTGGTTCCCAATAAAGCTTTTCTCACTCAAAAGGGTGCTGAGCTCAGTGTTGGTTAAAATGCAATATCAGTGCCAAATTCAACTCCTGTCCTTTTTGTGGGGTGTGCTGGAGGTCGTGCTCCTTTCTTCACCACCTGCTGTTCCCAAGGAAAGCACTGTGCCACCTCCCAGCCTACAGAGTGCGCTCTGCAAGAGTTCCATCTCCTGCTCATTGCTGTTCCACTGACTTTTCTGTGTAAACTCACTGCAAGTTTATTAAATTTGTGAAGCTGAAAACCACTAGGTTTTGTGACTTCTCCCTGCAAACACTCTGCATGACTTGAAAGCAATTTAAGTTTGAGGAGGATGGAGCAACATCCTCTCTGCATCAAATAATTAAGTAACTAAAATATTGTTGCAGAATAAGGCATGCTTTCACTATTTTTAAGAGTCCACTCTTCACAACTCATCAAAGCAAGTAATGCTTTAGATCCTTTCAAGCCAAAACATTTTCAAGTGTTGATCACCAACCAAGTTGAAGAAAACACATTTTCAGGCCCTGCTGGTGCCATTAAAAGCTCCCGATTGAGTTTTCACCAGCAGAATGTAATTGCTTTCTATTTTAAAGCCAAAGTACTTTGCACACGTTGTTCTTTCTGCTTCAAACAAGTGATTGTAAATAAGTGATAACTGAGATTCTTTGCCTTTTACCCTCCTGCTTAGGAAAGGGAGGATCCAGCTTTTCTGGGGAGATAAGTGCTTCTATGGCTGTTTGAGGGAAAGCTTGATTAACAGCAGCATTCAAATGGCAGTTCTGCCTTCTGCATGGCTGTATTCCTTGAGAAAGTGCAACAAAGGAAGGGGACAGCTCATTAGGCCAGTGTGGACTTTGAGGGCAGTGCTAATAGCATTCTTTTTAACTGTTTCAGGTGAAAAGGTAATTGAAGAGCAAGTCACTGAAACTGAAGACGAAAACACAGTGTACATCCATCCAGTGGTAGTTCAGAAAGGTGAGAACCATACATTCACCTTTCTTTAGAAGGATGCTGGTGGGACTGAAACCATCTGTGTCTTCACAGTTGTGCTGTAGCTTTGAGCCCATCTGAGATAGGGTTTTCTTGTCCAGCTGAATGAACAAGGACAAAGAACATGTGGTTTCCTGCAGAGTTCTTAGCAATGTGACAAGAAGCTAAAATTGACGGTGCAGCAAGCAAAGCTTGTGACATGTTTCACCTCTGGACTCACACACATTGTCAGTTTGATAGATAACAAATCTACAAGCCAGGCCAGTAATCTGTGTGCTGTGGTTTTGCAGACTGCAGAGCCCAAACACGTTTTGTTTTACCTAGGAGCAGTGGGACAGGAGTTTCTGTGAACCATGAGATAATATATTATTCCTGGATTAGGTGTTTGAGGGGGAAGATGTTTCGAGGAGGGAGGGTAGGGATTATTGGAAGCTGTGTCACCATGGTCGTACATCTGGGACATGGTGTAAGAGGTGAGCATTACCTCAAAGAGCCAAAGACTGCCATAAAATTATTCACAAAACATTAAAAACCTTGACGTGGACAGGGACGGGGGCTCAGGTGGTGTCTTAAAACTACAGTTGTGGTTGACTTTCAGCACAAGCAGGCTGCCCTGCCCTGTGTGCTTCTCTGGCTATTAGCACTGCAGTGCTCAGGATGTAATGCCCCTCCATCCCATCTGAGTCTGCCAGTCATGTGCTTGGAGTTTTTTTCTCCTTCTTTCAGATTTTGTAGCTTTTGAAGATGGACAGCCAGTAGTTTCGGAAGACAGGGGTATGGCCTACATACCTAAAGGTAAAGAATATTCCCCATTCTTTCCTTGGCAGCTGGGGCAAAAGCTGCTGAAGTGTTGCAGATTTCCAAGGCTGGAGGTAGCCTGGGGAGGTGAAGAGTGATTTACACTCAGCAGCTCTGCTGTGTTTGATTTTGTCTATTTCTCTTGCAGAAGGTTTTGATTCCAGCACTTCAGAGGCTGTCCAGCCAGAGGGTGGCTCCACCACCAACAGCCATTCTGCCATCGTGCTCCCTGACAGCCTCATCGTGGAAGTGCAGGCAGAAACAGGGCAAGAGGAGAAAGATGATGCCTTTGATGTCAGGACCATTAATGCATTAAAGCAGTATGCCAACAAGGTGAAGATGCAATTGTTTCCTTAATGGTCTTCCAGCAGCACTGAGGGACTGTGGTATTTCACATCTTACCTGGAATTTAAGTTGTCTCCTTTAAGTTGCACTTATGTACAAATTAGAAGTGCACAAAGTAGTACGCAGAGTAGTGCCAACTTTGGGAAGGTAAGCTGGTCAGGGCTTCTGTGGGTGTCACCACTGACAGGTGGCTGAAAAGGGCCTGGAGAGTGGCAGGTTCCTTCTGCAGCACCTAGCCAGTACCCACAGAGTGCTGGGCCTTTTACTCTGCAGGCACAGATTTGAGAAAGCAGAGCTGCTATGATACAGCTCAGATTTTTTCCAAGGTAGGAGATGTGAACTAGGAATGGGAAATGCTGGTTTCTAGAGCCCTGCTTTGTAATCTGTGTTGCACCATAAGTGTGCAAGCTGTGTTTGTAGAAGCACACTTTTGTGGGGACAACTGAAGGACTGTGTATGAATGGTAAGGAAAGAAAGAATTTGAATGGGCTTCGGTGGCAGCTGCTGTGGTGGCTGGCTGAATTAATTTCCACTCATTGGCTCGACAGCATTTGCAGGAGCAGGAAGTGCACAGCAACGAGAAGAGGATATGAGCTGCCCATAAAGCACACCGCTGTGGGTACGCAGGCCAGATCAGAGTGTTCCTATACAAAGGAAGAGGGAAATGCTCCTTTGGAAAAGGTCAGGTGTTTCAAGAGAAAGGTCAGGATACCCTTTGGCACTGAGGCATCATTCTGCAGTGAGTTTTTCTCTGAGGACTTCAAGGAGATGCTTTTAACCTTGAAGAACCAGGAAAAAGTATCCATAATTTGGAATAAATCAAGTGGGAATGTATCATTGAGAAGAGGCTTTGTCCCATGAAAGAGGTTTGTTAACTGGCCAATACGAAATCCAGCAGAGAACTCGAGATTCTCTCCAGCTGCTAGATTTCCACATGCTGTTTTCCTTACCATAGAGTCATAGAATCACCAAGGTTGGAACCCCTTTGTCATGGACCATAGAGGACCCATGCTTTCTCTTCCAGGTACATGAACGTTCTCATACAGGTGACCGGCCATATGCATGTCGCTTCCCAAGTTGTGGGAAGACATTTGCAACAGGTAGCAGTTTCTCTCGTGTGAAAATTCTGTCTTCAGTCTTATCAAAATCACCTTGAGAATATCAGCCCTTCTTTCCAGCAGAGCACAGTAAGCACAGCCTTCTGATAAGGAATTGCAATACGGGAGGCTGCTCAGGACTGAACTGATTACAGACAGCTTAAAGGAGCTAAAAGAAGAAGCTGAGTAGTCAGGGGTGTTGTGAGGCTCTTTGGATATTTCTTCCCCTTCAGCTTTGTGAACACAGGATAGACGTGTGCGTGATCTGAGAGCTGTTACACAGCTTGCAATCTTAGTTCCTTCTCATTGTAAAATTAATGTTGTGGTTTCTTTACTGGGCAGCGTACGGGCAGAAGACCCACATGAAAATACATACTAGTGAGAAACCATTCAAGTGCCCAGAAGACTCATGTAGCAAAGCCTTCAGAGCTTCTGGTGATCTATAGAAACACATCCGGACGCACACAGGTGAGCACCATAAGAGAACTGAGCTCCCTATCAAAAGGGCTTCCAAGATCAAGTACTGCTTCAGCCTCTTGTATCTCGGGTGAAGCAAGGCAGAGCTGAAGTTGTCTTCAGATGGAAGTAGTTGGGCAGTAGAAGCAGCACTTGGGACTCTCAACTCAGTTGCTAACAGCTCAGTGAAAGGGACAAGGGTGCCGGTTTTACTGGGGGAAATGTACATTTGGTTGGGGCCGATGTGAGATCTCACTGGTGTCGTACTGTGCAGGTGTGTGGGGAGCTCACAGGGCTGCGCTCTGGCAGGGCTCTCATCAGCATTGCTGTCACTGCAGGGGTGCGTCCCTCCAAGTGCCCGTTTGAGTTCTGCGGCCGCTCTTTCACCACCTCCCACATCCTCAGCGTTCACATCTGAATGCACACAGGCGAGTGTCCCTACGCCTGTCCAGAGCCCAGGTGTGGAAGGAGCTTCACCAGCGTCACCAATTACAAGAACCACATAAGAATTCACACAGGTAAGCAGGGGAGGAGGTGAGAAGACCAACAGCTCCTCCCCAGCCTGCTCTGATGATGTGTGGCAGCTGGGAAATCTTTGGGACTGAAACGATCGTGTTCAGGGTGGCCAGGTAATTAAAAGAAATAGGAACTGCTTTATTGGGCTGATTGTTCTGATGGTCTGCTTTCAGCTGTTCTCTCTTGTTAGGGAATCTCTTTGCAGGGCATGATGAGGCCGAGTGGGTTAAGCTCTGCACTGTGGCCTCTGCCCTAGGGAAGAAGCCCTATGCCTGCCCTGTGCCGGGCTGTGGGAAGTGCTTCACAGAGTACTCCAGCCTCTACAAGCACCAGGTGGTGCACACACACAGCAGGTCCTACTCCTGCAACATCTGTGGGAAGGCCTACAGCCAGAGATCTATGCTGGGCACACACAAGTGCAGCGGCCGCAGAGAGCTGGAGGCCACAGAGGAGAGCGAAGAAGTCCAGCAGCAGCTGGAGGGTGAGCAATCACTTCCACGTCACTTGCAGTGTGTCATGCCACGTGGCAGAGGGGAGACAGATGGCAGCAAGGGAGCAAGGGCGTGCTTCTGCTGTCCTTCAGACCTGAGTCTGTGCTGTGGCTTCCACCTCATTCATAAAGCCCAGATTCACGTCACAGCCAAGAGCAAAGTTCTCCCTCCTAGCTATAGTCATCAGTTGAGAGTAGACTGCATCCAGCTGTGTAGTACAGGGAGACACAAAGGTCCTTCTCTCCAGACTAACACTGGGCTGTTCTTATGATCTTTTGCTCCTCTCTGTTGGCCCTTCAATGACCTGGGGTCAGATATGCACTTTCCTGCTCTCTCCTATTTCACTCTTCGCTTTCCCTGACTTAGTTGCTGCTCCATGAAGAGGCAGCATGTTGCTTTCCCATCAGAGATGGAGAAAGACAAGGATGAGGAGGAATATGATGATGGTATGCCTACACAGGTCTCACTTATCTCTCAGGATGAGACAGAGCAGGTATGGACATTAACAGCCTCCAGCACTTGAGGGAGAGCAGTTACCTGAGTGAGGTTCTGCCTCTCCCTAGCTTCTTCTATATCCCTTTAGGCACTTCCTGAAGCCACTAAACAGGATGTCCCCTTGGGGGCCAGATCTCAGCTTGTCTTTTAGCTTCTCTAAAAGGCTTTTTTTTTCTGTGTAAAACAGACCCTGGGACCCTGGGGCTCTGTCTGTCATGATGGTTCCCCCCTTACAGTCCTATCCCACTGCTGCAGCCTTGATGTGAAGGGTAAATCACAGGCCTCTGGTCACCACTTGCCTTGCTGGACAGGGTCTTGCAGGCATTTGTCTGGGCTTATGTGCTGTGCCACCAGCCCTCGCCTCCTGCACAGCTGTCAGAAAGCAGCTCCCACTCTTTGCTGACACAGGCTGGATTTGGAGATTGTTTTTCCGTAGTTTGTAAACAGCAGTGCTTTTCTTGCACATACTTCCCTGCACGAGCTGCCTGTCTGCTGACTGGGAAAACCTGTGGCTTGGGGCAGAGGAAGCAGCTGCCATGAGTGAGGTTTGTTTCCTGTTAGCATGAGGAGCTGCCTGCATGAGCTATGCCCAGAGAGAAGATGCTAAATGGAAAGGGAGGTCTTGTTGAAGGGGGTGAACTAGGGACCAGGGATCTGTGAGGGCTCCATTGATTCTGTCTGTGATCCTGGGCAAAGTCCTTGCAGTTTCTCTGTGCCTTAGGTCTTGCACAATTCTATGATTCTGTGAGGGAGGAGAGAATATTTTAGCCTTTCTGTTGCTAAAATCAGGTGTTGTATAAGGCTTCCTGAGAAGCCAGCCTGGCTGAGAGCATCTGCTTTTGTCCTGTCCAGATCAGCTTGTCACAGGAAGACCTGCAGGCCCTGGGCAGTGCAGTCAGCGTGGTGATGCAAAGCAGTGCCCTCACAGTGCCCAAGGAAGAGTTTGTGGGTGGTGACATGCACACCATGACTGTGATCAACGCTGATGGCACCGAGACACAGCCGGTATGGGCAGAAGCAAGGCCTTCCCTCTTCCCTGCAGAAGAACTGCCTACTGGGAGGGAATCCCACTTTCTTTTATGACACAATTGTCTTGTGTCTTAACTATTCCTAGGTTACCATAGTCACCTCTGGGCCAGTCATGTCTGAAGAGTCAGCCATTACATCCCTCTGCCATCGGCAGGTGGCAATGTTGGCAGCCACCAATGGTGCAGTGCAGGTACCACTGAGCATTGCTCCCTTCGCTATGTACATCCCCATCCACTCACCGACTTCAGCCTCTTGCTTTGCATCTCCTCCTGCCTAGATTGCTTGCTCCTTAACTCCCATGTGCCTTGCATGTGGAGGGGAACATGGATGCCCTGCTTGGGTTGCAGAATGTTCCTTCATAAGCAGCCTTTCCCCATCAGAGCTGTGTCTCTGCTTTGCTGCTCTGCTCCACTGCCAGTCAGTCCCTCACACCTCTGTCCTGTGGGGCAAAGCCAACCCTCCTGAGCACACTTTTTGGGAGGGCAGTGTTATCTCTGACTTTTCTCCCTAGCTTGAAGAGCAGCAGAGCCTGGAGAACAGCATCAGTATGACGGCAGCAGCAATCCAGCATGAACCTGTAACACTGGACACAGCCGTGGCTGAGAATGGCTGCTGAGACCCTGCAGAGCCTCCCAGGCAGGAAGAGCAGGCAGCCAAGCCCATTCCTCCATGGGTGCATCAGGATCTGCAGGATCTGGGCCAGCAGGCACATGGAAGATGTGCAGTATAGGGGTGAGGGAAGGAGTCTGAGAGCAGCTGGCTTGTGATGTGCAGCAAACAGGCGGTGAGAGCCAGTGCTGGCAGTGTTGGGCTGCAGGGTGGCCATGCCAGAAGGGCTCTTCCCTCCATGAGCAATGTCTATTACAGCTGCTACCTTCTGCTGGAGGCTCTGCTGTTTTCCTTGGCTCAGAGCAGCAGCTTTCCTGCTCCTTGCTGTGGACCCTTGTCATTGTTTTATGATTTAAATTACTGGTATTCCACATCATAATATCATGTAGTGTGCTGGGAGTTAAGGTTAATGCTGCTGTTCCATGGACTGCTGATATTTCCAGGTACCTGGTTCTCAGAAGAGAAGAACATCTCCCAGAGAGAAGAAGATCATCTCCTGGAAGACTTTCACTGTTCTGTTTCCATTTTCTGTTTAGAGGGAAAGATAAAACTGTTTGCAAGTCGAGACACCTCCCCTTTTACTGCTCATCTGTGCAGTGTGTGCTCCCTGGCTGTCTCGCCTTCAGCATTAGAGTAAGGCCTTTGGTTTTGGACAGACTTTCTAATTTTATTTTATTTCTTACCCTCAATTCCAATTATACTGTATTATATTGTAGTATCTTGCATTACAGTATCATATTTAGTAAATTAGTTTTTCTCCCTTAGCTACTTGCCACTGTGTTGGCTTTGTTAGGCCTATCCTCCTACGTTTTTTTCCCCTTTTCTACCTTCCCCCTCTCCTGAGGTGTTGGTCCGTGAGCCCCCCCCACCCCAATAGTCTGGAGGAGATGGCAGGGTATCTTCTATTTACTTCATGCCTAAGATCTCCAAGACTTCGCTGGTCTAACGAAGCAGATATGGAGCTACAAAGATTTCAACTCTAGGAACGCAGAATATTTTTGGAGAGGCATTTTCTGTCCCCTTCCTTTAAAAATGGTCCAGCATTCCTCATTTCTGCCAACTCCTCTGCCTAATGAGCAAGTGGGCAGCAAAGCAATAAAGCCCAATCAGAGGGTGGCCCTGGGCTGGGTGATGGAGTGGCAGCAGTGTTCTGATGCTGGATGTCAGTGTCCCCACAGATGCACACTGAGCGCATGGCAGCAGTTCTCCCATCTAATACCAATCTCAGAGCAAACTGTGTTGGCAGACCCAGTGCTGTGGAGCAGCAGGGGATGGCAGAGGGGGTTGGCTTCTATTATTTTGCAGATGTCAGGGTTAAGGCACTGCAGGAGGTTTTGTTGAATTGTCCAAGTGCTCTCCCAAAGCTGTGATCATCCCAGGACTGTGCTGAGGGCTGTGAGAAGTGGCTTCTCAGGTGCTTGAAAGCAGTGCTTCTAGTCCCACATCAGGGCTTGGCTCCTCTGAGGGCTCCTGTAAACTTCAGGTTAGGGAGCGATGCCACTTACTACAAGAAAATACATCTGTGAGTGGACATCTTTGCTCGGGACAGAGCTAGGCTGGCGTCCTCTGCCCAGCAGGGTAACAGCAGCACCTGTGCCCATAAATCCATGGGCAAAGCCGGCACAGAGCAGCAGCAGAGGCTGCGAGCAATCACGTGTTTATTTGCCCCACGTACTTCGGAAGTTCTCTTCTGCAGAGGAACAGGTTTCTGTGGGGAAGGGTGGGCCGTGACAAACCACCCCCACCACCTGCAGCGCATTGCAGCCCTGCTCCCCTTCCTTGGGCCTCGTCCTCTCCAACAGCCCCTGCTGCTGCGGGGGGGAGGAGGGGGAAGCTCTCCATCTCAGCCCAAGAAGAGGAAGCTGCTATTTTAGGCAAGGAGGAAACTTTTCCTTCTTGTGGGCACAAACGCTGAAGCTGAGCCAGCACAGGGTCGCGAATCCTTGCCAGCCCCTTCTCCGTGCGCTCTCACTGCGCTCCTCGCAATCTCTGCGTTCCTCCGGGGCGGCGGTGGGAGCGCAGCGGTGCCCGGAGCGCAGCGCAGCCCCACGCAGATGGCGCTGCTGCTCCGCGCACGGCCGGAGCCGCTCGGGGCTCTCGGTGCAATCGGTTTCCTGAAACCGGATTCACAACGTTGACAGAACGGCCGCTGTCACCGCCGCTTGTAGCCATGGACCTGCGAGCTGAGCTGCTCAAGTCCATTTGGTACGCCTTCACCGCTCTGGATGTGGAGAAGAGCGGCAAAGTGTCCAAATCTCAGCTCAAAGTGAGTAACTGGGGGAGCTGGGGGGGGTTTGGGGAAGGCTGTGGGGTTCCGGGGATGCTCTGCAAGCCTGTGGGGTCCTGGAGAGGTTCAGTGCTGAGGGGTGAAGGGCTGTGCTGTTGTGCCACATGCGGTGCCCTGAAGTTCTTCTGTGCCTCACCTCCATTTTAAGCATTAAAAAGTGTGCGTGGGGGGGGAAGGTAGCAAAGAATCAACATTCAAATGTGTTTTCGGTGTGAAAATGGGGGAGAAATTGGATTCTTTCTTCATGGCTTTGGTTTCTTATGCTGTCTGTGCCCACCTATCAGCCCAAACTCAGGCTGTTTTCTCACCCCAATGCGCCCATGGTGCCTCTTCCTGTGCAGTCCAGGGTCGGAAGGTGGAGGGAGAAAGTTCTAAATATGACAGCTACTCTGTGCTCAGGGCCAGCAGTAACACATCACTGCTCCAAAATGCCGACCTCCCCTTCCCTCCACCCCCTCAGCACCTTTTAGAAGGCTCTGAGCTCGGTCCGTCCTCAGAAAGACTCGTAAAGCCCATTTATCGCCTCCAGGACTGGTGAAATCCACCAGGTTTCACTGACAGGCAGCAATTTTTTTTTTTTTTTTTTTTTTTTTTTTCCTTTGCAAACACTGCAGCTCTTTTTGGTTGCTTAAAGTCTTGGCCTGGTTCTCATAGGGATGGATGTGCTGTTTTGGGGCTGCAGTGCAGAGAAAGGACCTGAGTTAGAAGCACGCAAAACATGGTGAATTGTTGCATCAGGAGCCTGGGAGATGCGTTGTGAAACCCCTCAGAGAAACCTCTTCTCCTCTTTCTTTCACCTACTTTTGAGGGCTTCCCCCAGGGCAGGTAATGGGGATCTAGGAACCTGCATGGCACCTCCTGCTGCCCGGCTGCAGGGGCTGGGTTCCTCTTGAAGGCTCTCAGAGCTGAAGGCTGTGTGTGCCATTTTCTTTTTAAGACACCTGGAAGCGTAGAAATAGCTGAAGAAATCCAGGAAAATCCCAAAGCAAACCAAGAACAGGCGCTGAGCCTCAATCCCAGCCCCAATGGAGCACACCTTGCACCAGCACCGATGTCACCACGTGCAGCACTCATCTCACAGGCTCTGTGCGGGGATGGTGGTGCTGAGCTCACGAAGACACCGAGTTTCACAGCAGTTTCCTGGAGAGCCCATGCAGCTGCGAGCCCCTCGTGCAGAGGCTGAGCACTGCATCCCCACGGTGACTTAATCCAGAACTGAGCACAGATTCACCCCATGCTGTTTTCCCACCCGGCCCAAAATGGGGACGTGGCTGCAGGAGAGGCTCTGCACACCCACACGTTGCTGGGAACACCCAAGCAGTGCTTGTTCCACTGCGTGTCTCAACGTTCAGCAGCTTTCCACCCCTCATTTCCATTGCCCATCGTCGCCGGTCTTTGCTTGCTGCAGGATTTAGGGCTGCCCTCCCCACATTGGGTTCAGCAGTTGAGTTCTTTACATGCACTCCTACTACTTGAGTACTTTACACGTACTTGCTTCTGTGCAAGAAACTGTGTGTACATCTGTGTGACATGGGTGGGTATCTGCAGAGGAAGGAAGGACAGTTTTGTGGTTAAGTGCTATGAGCTGAGAGATGTGGGGTGTTCTGTTCGCAGCATTGCGCTTCCTGATGCTGCCATGAGCTCTGCCTACAAGCTTCATGCCGCTTGGGGTTGGAAATGCTGCTGGAAAACTTTGGAAAACCCAAATTTGGGGCAGTCCCAAAAGGGCTTGGTCGTACTCCAGGCTTCTCTTCTCAAGGAAACGTGTTTGGGAGATGGTGGTCCTAAGGCTGTGTGTTGGGGGGAGGCACTGGGGCACACATCCATCGCCCTTTGGGAGGCAGAGCCCCCATCCTGAAGGTCCTGGGGTTTGGCGGGTGCCCTGGGGACCAGACAGGCTCAGTGCACTACAATGCCCTGGGGCAGGCGGGATAGAGCCACATGGCATGGACTGAAGCTCCTGTGCTTGTTGAATGCACAAAGGGCTCTTGGCACAGGCTGGTGCTGGCAGCTTGGCCAACAAGAGGGCTGAGAGCAGCTCAGCTGGGTGAAAATCTCCCCTGGGGGGGAGCCCGTAGTGCTGTGCTTGAACCATGGGGACATGCAGACCCCGCTCACATTTCTGTTGCTGCTGGCAGAGGTTCTTGGAGGCATCTCCCTGGGTTGGGCTCACTGCAGCACTTCTGGGGATGCTGTGCTTTGAGCAAAGGGGAGAAACTGAGGCAGCAGCACAGCTCCCTGTGGTATGCCAGAGACCAATCCACGTGGGATTTGTGCCCGTTACACAGAGCTGAGCTCTGATCCCAAAGTTCACCCCCAGCCCTGGCGTCGCCCACTGCATCTCCCACAGGGGAGAAGATGAGAGGCTGCCATTCTTCAGTGCTGTGACGTGTTCCACCCCCATGGTGCTGGGGAGGGACGTGGGGTGCTCGTGGTGCTGGGCTGACCGCAGCTGCTCCCTCCACCCCTGCGCAGCGCAGAAAGGCAGTGTCACCAAAGCACTCTGCGGCTGCACTTCAGTGGCCAGAGCCTCCCTTCCCCTGTCAGCCCCCCTAGATTTTTGCCCTGTGTCAGGGCTGCGGGGTGTTTTCCTCCATTCTCTGTCCCCATAGTGTCGGGGTAGCCCTGACCTCGCACATCCTGCATCCTTGGCTGGGGGTTTCCTCCCCATCTTGTTTTGCTTTCAATATTTAAGTGAGCATTCCAGCGAGAAGCAGAACGTGCTTTGCAGTGTGTGGGGGCACAAGGGGGGCTCAGGGTGCCAGCCATGGCTGGGTGCACATGTGAGACCCCCCAGTGGCTCACAGCATGCTTGGGTGAGCTCATCCCCACAGTACATCCCTATGGCTCACAGGGCAGTGCTCAGCAGGACAGTGGCTTTGGAGCATTGAGGGCTGTGGATGAGAGCCCTGCATGGAAAGGGGAAGGCACAGCCATGGTTCCCTGCTCTTGTTCTGGATTCTCAGGGCGTTTCCATCTCTCCCACCCCTGTGCAGCCCCTAGGGCAGTGCCAAACCCCAAAGGGTGCAGCGCAGCGCTCGGGGCTACAGCCCTCGTGGTGTCTGCACACTGGGTGGAGCCCTGCAGATAGCATCACTCTGAAGGGGAAAAATGAGAAAGAAAATCCGGTTGAGCAAGAACCATCTCCAGCTGTGCAGCAGCGTGGCTCCTGGCAGCTCCTCTCCTTTGGGAGGAAGTCTCCAGCCCCATCTCCTTGATGCCAGCTGTCCATCCAAGCCGTGTTGTACCACCTTGGGCATCTCCGTGGAGCACCTCCTGCTAGCTGGCAACTCAAGGATAGTGACAGCATCCAAATTCCCAACACGTGGAAAATTCACATGCTGCAAAGTGAGCTCTGTTTGGGGGGGGATCTGTT